TGTAAATGCAGGAGCGGCCCTGGGAGCTCCGCAGGCATCGGTTCTCGGGGCTCTGTTAGTGGATTTTGTCAGTTTCTGCAGAAATGGAAGTCTGCATGCTGAGCTTCAGATAGCAAACACCCTAGGGGTTGGGGCAGATTCTTGCAGAGGCTGGACTAGAGTTTTGACCTGCATCCCAGGTATGTGCACAGGCCGACACTCTAACCACTGAGAACACTGACCAGGGCAGGAACATTCTTTAAATAATGTCAGAACCCTTCCTCGTGCTATATAAAGAAATACATTACATTGGATTGAAGACGTAAATGTGTGTTTTTTAAATACTAAACTTTAGAAGGTTTAGGAACATACGGCAGGAAACCCAAGTCTTTTCAGTAAAGATTGCCCAGGCCAATGATAGTCAAGTTTTTACATCCGATGACATTAAAAAATGACATCTTTGTGCTGGTGAGATTATAGAGAAAGAGAACCTTTCCTATATGTGTTGCCTTTGGGGATATGATGGCCACAGCCAGCCTCTTTGGAAAGAAACATAGCAATATTAATAAAAATTTGAAATGCACACCCTACCCCTCACCAATTCTGCTTTTGTGAATATATCTTTTCAGAGATAAAGTGGTCGCATATAGGAGCTTGTGTATAAGGACATTTATTGCAGCCTTGTTTTTCGTTTGCAAAAACTGGAAGTCATCTCTCAAGAGGTGCATGGTTATATAAATTGTGGTAGAGTTTGTTATGGAATATAATCATGGTGAAAATAATTCATTGCATTTAATTGTACTGAGTTTTTTCATCTTTGTTCACTAGGAAAAAAGCAAACCATAGAGTCTTGTAATAATATCCCATCAGTTTGTTTGTTTTTTAAGTGAGAAAAGGGGAGAAAATCCTTATATTTGTGTCTGTGTCTGTGTGTATATTTTTTAAGCATTCAGAAAGTTCTGAGATTTCACTTAAGATGATCAGCTTTGCTTATTTCAAGGAGATGGGATTAGAGAAGAAAAAGGGAAATAATTTTTGTCTTTCTACGTCTTAGGATAATGTCAGAATTATTTTTGTAATTTTATTAACAAATTTAATTAGAATTTTTTTAAAATATATTTTATTGATTTTTTTTACAGAGAGGAAGGGAGAGGGATAGAGAGTTAGAAACATCGATGAAAGAGAAACATCGATCAGCTGCCTCCTGCACATTCCCTACTGGGGATGTGCCCACAACCAAGGTACATGACCTTGACCGGAATCGAACCTGGGACCCTTCAGTCCACAGGCCAGTGCTCTATCCACTGAGCCAAACCGGTTAGGGCTAATTAGAATTTTAAAAGTGGGATTAGTACTACACAGTATGTGTAGAATAGTATAAAAGAACGTACCACTTCCCCCTCTAGCCTGGCGCTATAATTCATGGCTCGTATTACATGGCTTTACTATTGCAGTTATAGCTCATTGTATTTTATGTGCCTGGCACAGGGCCAGCGCTGAGTATGTTTTGAAGGAAAGAAAAAGACTTGTTCGAAGAGACTTCACTGCGTGCGGTGAGCATTTTACTGAGCACTGTGTGCCCAGCCCAACGCTGGCACCTGGGTATACAACAGATTCGCTGACGCTGGGGACCGCGCACTGCCAAAGGCCCAGGAGAGAATGAATAGCAGGTGTGCCCAGGAGGTTACACTTGCATTTGACCTTGAAAGAAGCAGTGGCGAAAAGATGGGGCTTGGAATCAAATGAAGCTAAAGTCTAATCTGGCCTCACCATTGAGTTTCTCTTTTTTGTCTGTAAAACTGCCTGGAAGGTGTTTGGGGCTATTCACAGTGACGGGTGCCACTACATGGGCACTGCTGACCACGCGTCATAATTACAGTCACAGAATCACAGACTAGCTGCTGTCGCCCTATTACTGGAAAAGGAAGTCCCCGTGTAGTTACTGCTGCGGGGTTAATGCTGGGACGTGTGTGTGTGTGTGTGTGTGTGTGTGTGTGTGAGAGAGAGAGAGAGAGAGAGAGAAAGCCCTTCCACCGGACGGAACATGTCACGTGACTAGTGCAGGGGGCTCATCTCCCCAGAGCAGTTAAAATCCTGACTGGCCCTTTCTGGTTTGGTTGGTAAGACAATATTATTTTGTCCTTTTTTCAGATCTGAAAGGAGTCCCCTAGCTCTTAGAATTATCTTACCTTCTGCAACAATACCAGGATTGCCAGAACTTGCGGACAAATACTTGAAAAGCACGGATCTCCATAATTGGTGGCTCAGATTTCTCCATCCCCACCTCCTTTCTCCCCAGCCCCCACTTGACCAACCTCCCCCAAGGCCCCTGGCAGTTAGATGTAGTGGGCGTCTTAAAACAGCTCTGTCCTGCTCTCTAGAATGCCCTGAACTGCTCGGGCCACTTCCTGCCTCCCATCCAGTCACACCCATGTCTGTGACAGCACTTCCCACCCTGCAGCCCCACCAAAGCCCTGTATTTTCCTCTTCTTTGCTAAACCCCTGAATTTACATTCCATTCAAATTGCTTACTCTACTCTGTAATCCTTTCCCCCTTCCGCCCTGGGCTCCCACTTTTCTCCACCAGCATCCTGGATCCTTGCCCTCACTGAGCCTGTTGGAGACCTGCTTAGTAAATCTTAACTTTGTATAGGGAGATGTGTGTGTCTGTATCATCTTTCCAGTGAATTGTCGTTCTTAGATTTATGATGCAGCCTGTAAGAAAAATCCTTAAAATGTGAGGCATAAGTGGCTCTGCTGGTTGATGTTAGATACATCTCTCTGTCAGCATGGGTGTAGAGGTAATGATGTTTGATATACATGCCAGGCCCTGTTCTAAGCAACTTACACTTAATTCCCAACATTTCTACCCCCAACAGGATCACTAGGATTATTTCAAGATCTAGTTCACTGAATTAGCTCTTGTATTTTAAAATATGTTTGCACTAGGAAGTTTTATATAGATATGTGTGCATACATATGTAATTAATGTGTACACACACACATGTCCATAGATACAGATGTAGCTGTTGACTGTATGGTTATTCAGTTGTGGAATTAGAACGTACGGGCTCCCTGCCCTCGCCTGTGCTTACATACCCAGTCTCCCCTTCTGCTGCTCTCAGACCACATTTATGTTCCATCTGCCCAGGAAGCGTGATTCTCCCCGTGCAGAGTTCTGGGGAGGTTCTCTGTGACGTTGTAAAAGGCATTGGGTCAGAAAGGGCTCTTAACTGGTTGGTAGGCACATGGGTCTTCAGTTTTCCTTTGAAATATTTTATCATTTCAAGCAAACACACCAAAAACCTGATACTTTATTGACCATGGAGACCCTTCTGGTGGAAGCAGCTGGCAGGCAGGTTGCCGAGTCTTCCCTGTCGGGTGTCGAGTGGGAGTCTCCGCTAGTGGAAACACTTCGGCCTCCAGCAGAAGGTGTCGGGGTAGCGGCAGCTCCAGAGAGAG